GGACAACGCTACTCTACTAGATGCCGTTGACTATCCAACCTCTTGTGGCAAATGAATGCCGGTAAACCAATGAACAAGCAAATAATCTTGCAGGTGATCTTTGAGTTTATGAAGACCTGAGGAAGAATTATTCTGGCATTGCAAAGGAGGGATCTGCAAAGGAAGAGGAATCAGTGATGGGGGGAAAGCGTGGAGCAGCCTGCAAAGGAGACTGCATCTGTGTGTTGACACAAATGAAGCTTGTGTGTGCACGTTTTGAGCAAAAAGTAACATTGCTGTATTATATAATCTTATTAAATATTCCTTAGATCCTGAGAACACACCTTAAACAGTGCATTCATCTGTATTTGGTTGCCATCTCTGTGAGCCACTAATTTCTGGTTTCAGGGAAAGTTACTGATATCAGTCCCACAACAAACTCACCTGAGCGTGGAAGTGCCAGCATTTGGGATTCAAAACATTTGAAAATGGTAGAGAAATGCCAAGGAATTAAAATCAGCTAAGGTGATAGTTGAAATTCAAACTAGTCTAGTCATCACATTCTATTTGGAGTCTAACATCCCTACAGCAAGATTGCTACCTTCTGACTTGGTTCATATATTGTGTTAAGCCATAGTCTGCTTAATCATGATTTACGGAGTAATTCATACAACATCCTAAGCCATAAACTCTGCTTCCCAACCACAATGGTAGAGTTCACACAAGACAAATTCCATAAATCACAGGATGACTTGATGACTATGTTTACAGCAGTTAACCCAGTTAATTAGGTAAAGACCAAGAAGACATATTTCCGCAACATGCTAAGCTTGGTGAATATTTAGCTCTGTTAGGTGTTTTGTTGCTGAGCATGTTGTTCAAAACTAGCCTGTTGGGCTGGCTTATGGTTCAATGTAGGGTAAAGATCCACTCTATCTGGGCTGGAAAAATCTTAGGAAACCCAAGATGAGCAAAAAGTTTTTTTTCCCCCGTCTGCTGTTTTCTAACAATTGTCTAGAGTTGTACCGATCTGGCAGCTGTAGTGAACACTAGCAGTGTGTTGTGTTAACCAAGCTGTTGGGGGTAGAGACATTAAATGGAGCTTGAATGGTTCTGATTAATGCAGAGATATATATTTATATATGGCTATAGTATCTGACATGGGCATGCAAACAGATGGCCATAAACACCTTGTAAACCAGGGGTGTGCATCTTGGGATGGGATATGAGGCTGTCACTTAGATTTGTGTAATGCTTCCATTCTAACAACATGCTAATCTTTTACACAAGTTTCTTATTCCATCAGACATTTTCAAAAAATGAGGAAAATGTATATTGTCAATACTCCCTGCTGGTCAATTGAAATGTGATTCATCGTTAACTCCAGGATCAGGCCAATCAGTGAAGCTATGCTGAGGCTAATGGTGAAGGAAAGTCTCATACCAAGCTCTGGTTGAGATACTAGGCGGTGAATGTAAAGATTCACAGAGCTGCAGAAAGAAGGATTTATAGAAGGCAAAGGTTTTGTCTGGTTGGTTCACAGCCTTCTAGTGGGCTCCCTCCAATATGCTTTTAATTTTTACAGGACCCAAATGTAATGAGTTCTGAATCAGTTCTATTCTCATCATCCCATCTTTCATGGGCAGAGGGATTTCTGGATTTGCCCATAAGATGCCCTTTTAACGCATTTCTCAGCTATCACCAAACCAAGTTAGAGAAGATACCCAGGTATGAGTCACTCCTTGCATCCAGCAAGGAACAATTGTATGGAAAGAAACTGGATGGTCCTTTGGTTACTACTTACCCTTTCACAGTGCTGGCTTCCCACTTTAGTCCCCTAACTTGCATCTCTCTCAAGTTCAATGTTTTATTGAGCTCTATACACAATCCTCCTCCAAATCAGCTTATGAATGAGATGGCACAACCAGATGAAAAGTCAAAGTGGTACATATTCTTTTCTTTTAATGTAAAGTCAGAGACAACCTCCAGTTTGGACCCCCCAACAAACCAAGGGCAAAGGAGGCCTCTGTTTAGACTATCCCCAAACCTCCATCATCAAGGTGCGCTTCTCCAGGTCCATTGAAAAGAAAACGAGAGAAGAAAACTACTGCAATTTGAGAAAAGCTTTTTCCCCCTTTCTTCTTAAAAGACATAGTATTATTTGGAATTTTCCTTTCTCTTTTTTGCAGTCCTTGCCATGTTTTTATCTGGAGCTGTAAAGAGTTGTGCAGGGGGGTGGGGGGTGGAGGAAATGCATTAGCTTTTACCATCATCATCCCCCCCCCCCTTTAGAAATCTCTGGATCTGGAAAGATATGCTGCAGATTTTTTTTCTTTTGCTTTTTTATAAATGTCTTCACAATGTAAATAATCCAAAGGAAAATAAGAGAGAGGGGGAGAGAGAGAGAGAGAGAGAGAGAAGAAAACAGGAAAAAGAAAAAAAAAGGGAGGAGTTAAATACACAGTTACCAATAAAACTTTATCCTCCAGTCTAATACACAGTTAACTCCATTTACAGCATGCAGTAATGTTGGAAGAAGGGCCCAGCTGAGAAATAATGTGCTAGAATGCTAACAAAAAATATTTTATATATTTTATATATATTTATATATTTTATATATATATATATAAAAACTGTGTGTGCATATATATATATATATATA